GAAAATTTGACAATTGTGAAAATTTAGTTTTACGGAAATTTTTAACGGTTGAATTTAAAAATGCGTTGTACTGATTAATAGTATGCATAACGAAAGTCGCAAGTGGGAATCTTTCAATAAGGACGCTTGTTTCTTCGTGCTTCTGTCCAACTTGATTGTTCATTCAATGTCTAGTTATTACACCTACAGACATAGCTAATCTATAAAAAAACACATTATAAATGCCAGCATAATGAATGAATAAAATCAGAAATTATATATTTTGAAAAGAACAAAACTTTAATACCTGATTTTCAAGCATTGTCCTGGTCCGTCGGATGCAGGAGTCTTAGTAGGTCTCTTTCACTTTTTTTACAGCGCAGTTTTTACGTGTATATCGTAACGTGTGTATCGTAACGTGTATATCGTAACATATTGTAACGTATATCGTAACGTGTATATCGTAACGTGTATATCGTAACGTGTATATCGTAACATTTTTAACTTAATAATTCAATGAACCCTACTTGCAACATTGCAATTTTGTTTATAAACGTTAAATAAATTATTAAAAAGGAGCGAGTGAAAGCCAGCTATTTTCTCACAGCAATTGACATCTTTTATTGACTTTTTTTAACTAATATGAGTGTTTTTCATGATTATAGTTCAATTTGAAAAAAAAGACCATCAGGATCATTTTTGAATATCTCATGCAGTTACTCATAGCTATAAGTTAATTTTAATCCTTATCTACTCAACTTACAAACCACAAGACATAGATCATGTTTTTCCACTCACTTGTTTTCCATCTTCGTAGATTATAGTCCAATCATTTCAATATTAATGTTCACACGTTCATATGCCGTTATGCAATGTCCATTCAATATGTTTATACCATTCCATACACAAAATAATCGACGTAACCAATAAAGGGGCTCCTGGTATTATGAATCGCCATTTCGATAGATTACTGTTTACAATGCTCTCTTATGGTAACTTCAAGTGAAGGAGAAGGGATCACTTCAATACCCCAGTTATATAATCACACAAAGAATGCTTAGTGTAGATTTGATCTCCTGTGAATGTCAGCTGACCACCTTTTGGGGGGCTCATATAAAAATGGGACCCATCATCATTATATGAACAAACAACTAACATCCACAGAGTCCAAACTGCAAATGAACATTCTTGGCCATGAATCACCATGACACATGAGTAATGACAAAATAGTAAAAGTAAATGAAGTAAATGGCACAGGTGGTAAAGGGACTTTCATAACTCTATCCATGTGGGGTCTACAATATAATAAAATATGAAACATATGTACGGCATTTCATGATAAAGAACTCTACATATGATGTTAGTTTGCGTTTTTAAATTCTTAATCAGATATATTGAGAATGGGAAAATTGTTATATGTTTTCTGTTTGACTATCCAAATTATAGGACATTCACCAACATTGCACGAATAGCTTTAGCCGGTTAAGTTTGAAAGATGTAACAAGTTTCACACGATCAAAGGCTTCACATCGTTATCAAAGCATTTTACATTGAAAGCTTTCATATTACGAGGCCTACCATTAAGACTAGTTGATTATTCCATGCAACTCATACTTCAGTACTTCGTCAGTAAAGAGATAGAATTCACCTTACTTTCTACAACGTTTAAATGACTAGTTTTCCGTTGTCAACATTTGTTTAATTTTTGTTACAAATAAAATTTTTTATTGTGATTGGCTCTTTAGGAGCTTTTCACCTTTCACAAAGACCATAAGTAATTATCCTTCAACGTATTTAAATAAAAATTTTCATCAGAATCTACATATTTTTTGCATTTTAATGTCGGTGTGCAAAGCAAAGATGCATTATGCTGTAGGTTAAGTTTCATGAGACGATAATGAATTTATAAACTAGACTTTAATTTTGTCCAAATATTAATTAAATCTAGCAGTCATGTCTTGCTGGGTTAAGGTAAGTATCAGGTTTAAGGGCGTTCTGTTTTGCCCCGAGGTTCTACTACTAAAAATATGGTAGACAGTCGTAGAAAATTGAGCAAGAAAATAGTTACGGCTCTCGTTCATTGCAAGTCTACACCTTAAACTCTGGAAAAAGCACTTCTATGCACTCAACCACATAGTGCATTGGAGACAGATGACACATTTAGCGTATTTATATTCATTGCATATATTCAGTTATAACTAATGTGACATTGAAGAAACAAACCAGAAATCAGTAGCATTAATGAAAACCATTAAGATTTTAACAAGAACAATAGAGATAAATCCAAAAACAAATTACCATTAATCATCAGTTTGGTCGCTTAAATTTGTAGTTTCCAGCCGAGGGATCTATTTTCATATATGATTATGAAACAAGGATTTTCCTCTTTCAAATTTGTTTTTGCTGCTGCTATCAACATTTAAGACGTAATACTGATAGTATATATCTGTACATCGTGGCTTTCAAATAACATGTCATCGAAGAGAGTTGAAGGCAACAACTTTATTTTGATTGGCACAATCACAAATCTTTATACTTGTCGTCTATGTGTAAAGTCTTGTTCCATCTCTTATGAACAACATTTACTTTCCATGACGCCTCGTGGTTTACATGTGGCTTGAAGTGAATAGTATCTTTATAAATAGTGTTGAGCATGTCATTATATGTATTTGTCCAACATGATTGTTTAACCCACTGGGAGCCGTGCCTTTTCAAACGTTCGTAAACGTGCCTTTTCGTTTGGTGATTGTTGCCTGAGCAAAAACGGCTTCTATAGGGTTAAAATACATTGTTTGTACTTGAACAAATTACCGGATATCTATCAAATCTAATTTTCAAAACAAAACGCATTGTTGTCAAACAAAAGAACTATGATCTCCCTACATTAATATATATGAAATGCTAGTAACAATTGACCATTTTCTGTGATATTACGTCAATTATTTATTAATTAAACATATTTAGCCTATTAAATAACGCTAATTTATAATTTTGGTTTTGAAGATGTTGGTGACGTTAATGAGAACGCCTTAAACCATTCTCACAGTATATTATCACAGAATAAGAATATACAGAAGGTCACTCGTGTTGGAACCTTTGATGTTTTATTCTTAGGCATGTTGCGCGCATGGTGGCCGCCATTATTACAGCCAGTTGATTAGGGTTTTGACTTTTCCCAACCTTCAAAATGATCCAAAATCGTTTCTAAAGTCAAAATATTCTCGAATTCATTATTAAGTATTGATGTCATGTAATTTTAATGGTTGGAAACCAGTAACAAACCCTAATCAACTAGCTGGAATAATGGCCATTGTAAGGACACGTTGGCTACCTGAGTGACCCTTCTGTTTAGTCATGATTCTGTGCTAATATTGATTTTGGGCTTGAAGATGTTGGTGACGTCAATCAGAACGCCTATAAACCATTCTTAGAACCTTAACCTATCAAGATATGACTGCAAGATTGTATGAAGATTTGGTCAAAACTAAAGACTAGTTTCTAAATTGATTAAGGTCTTATGAATCCTAACCTACTCCACAACATCACGCATCGTTACTTTGCATAACAACATTAAAACGCAAAAGAAATTGTAAGATTCAAAACGATTTTTATACTTAAACGCGTTGAACGTGGTCAAGACGTGGTCTCTTATATTGACAACTAAAGATTGAAAGATTTGGGCACAGAGTAGCCAAATCTGTTCACAATGTTTACATTCGTGTGACTACTAACAGCACAATGCTACAGAGTAATGATTATACAGAAGGGTCACCCAGTTGTACAACACGTCCTAATGTCGGCCATTATTTCAGCCAGATAATTAGAATTTCTCACATGTTTCCAACCATTAAATTTACATAAGTGAATACTTAATAATGAATTCAAGTATATTTTGACTTAAGAAATAACTTGGGATCATTTTAAAGGTTTGGAAAAAGTCAAAAACCTTAATCATCTGGCTGGAATAATGGCGGCCACCATGCGCGGCACGACATGCGCGAGGACAAAATCATCAAAGGTTCCGACACGAGTGACTCTTCTGTATATTCTTAAACTGTGGTAAGGGTTAGAGCATGATCACGTGTGTTATATGAGATTAAGAGTCCCAAGGATTAGATAGAGTGAATTTTATTTAATGTGAGGGTCTCTTAATCCCATAGGACACAAGTGATTAAGCTCTATCCACACGTAGCTGCGAAAACGATACAAATAACCAACTATTGCTTACAGAGCATGCGCTTATACAAATAATGAGCTGGCTATAAAATGTCGAATTATCCGACAAAAGCTAGTGCATCATGATATTAAAAAAAAGTAGTGAGAATGAAGCTTTTATGTGGACAGATGATGAAGTGGACCTTTTACTGAGATCCGTTTTAGAATATAAAATAGCAAAAATGTTTAAGGACACATTTCTGACAACTGGCAATGAAAGGAGCCGTATCAAAACTGCTCTCCCTCTTTCCATAATTTTTTGATAATTGAAGAAGGCAAAAATAAATCACATAAACGCAAAATTGCTCGAAAATAGCACAGTTAATATCAAAAGAATGAGTTTAGGCACCATTTTAATGCATAAGATAACGCATAATAAATGTGGATTGGATTAGGGCAGCGGTGCGTAGATAGATATTACATTTCATTGATTTATGTCAACGTTTTTAAATCATTCCGGTTACAGTGTGTCCTCACGTAGCCGGATTTGATGAGTTTTCAAAAGTTTCCAATCTGGAGACCGTTCAAAAGTTTGCAGTTACAGTAGGCGTTTTGGCTGGATACGTGTGGTCGATAAGCGTAACTGCAACAAAGTATTTGCTGATACGAACGAATCCGGATACGTGTGGACGGGACCTAAGATGCCTTGTTTTCAATTAAGTGATTATCAGTCAGTAATGATTGTTTCAGTGTAAGAAAAGTAATTAAAACTTAAAATTTAATAGATATAATATCTTTATGCAGCAGTTTTAAAATCGTTTATTTTGAACATCAAACAAAAACAACTTACTTGTGTACATCTACTGCAATGGTGACAATCCTGGCACATTTTGTTTGACAAGCCAACTCAAAAGGAAGAAAATATTGATCTCCTGTAATGAATGTTTGCTGACCAGGTAGTGGAGGTAGAGTTACAGCAGAAACATTCCTAAAGATTTTATTATAAATAAATCAAAGCAACATTCTGGTTTATAAATCTAACATATGAACAATAAAACTCAGTAAATTTGTGAGCAAGCGTAGTCTGGATATAACTGTGAATTAATTAATATTCAAAGTTAGTAACTCATTTTGGGTCATGTTAAAATTGGAAAATTGGAAAGAAAATTAGACAACTTTACATAATAAAACTTACCCTGTAGATTTTTCATTTCCTTGAACAGCGTTTATTTCCTCTAGAATAGATCAAAATCATAAAGCGATCATTTTGTAAAGCAACATTCCTGAACACAGCAGTACATTATATTCATTGCACACGTTGACATAGATTTGTCCATAAACATATACACATATAACTCAAGCAGAAGAACATGAAAAAGCGATTGACACTAAAAAATAACTGTTTGCCACTTATAAAAAAGTACAAATCGTACATTGAGCAATTTTAAAGATACTATCGACAGCGTTCGTTGACATCCTGAATGAGGGATTACTACACTTAATGTTTTGTTGATAGCAAATCCAGAAACTGGTTGAAAATGCATAAAAACATAGAGCAAATAGAATCCAAATACATCAGCAATAACTACAATCATTACTTATGGATTTATACCTAAAGCCGTTTCGCAAGCTTTCTTTAGTTGTGAATGATGAGACTTTTTTGTTTCTTTATCGAGTAGAATTCTTTGTAAAGCACCAGATAGGAACACGTTCTTTGTTTTCACGTTCTTCTGCATGACTGAATGATTTAAAAAGTTCAAAAGGAATGAAAATAAAACCTTACTAAGGCATCTCTATGAATTACTATTCCACTGGAATTCCGCCATCTTTCCATGTTTCATTCCATTTAATCACGTGACTATAAGAAAGTATGCGGAGCAACTGTGAATGGTGGAGGATTGGGTCGAGAAAAACCAAAACTTTAAAATTCTGAATAACAAATGTTGTGGTCGTCTTTATTTTGACAACATTTTGACGATGAGAATTGAGAATTGACAGCCCAACTCATTCTGGCCATCAGAATCAGACTCATGGTTTGTCCGTTTTCTATGTGCACTCGCTGCGAGTGTTAAAAGAAGTGATTTTTTAAACAAGAAAAATCGTCTGAAATTCACAATACATTATGCAATACCATAACTAGTAGGATGACTAAGCCATTGATTGATCTTGCTTTAAGCCACAGACTCGTAGTATGTAAACATAACACAAGATATTAAAATAAAATCAAAAGTGAACATCGTAGGTTATATACTTCAGTCATTCATTTCAGAATGCAAATTCACAATAAAATGAATGGTTTTTGCTGTTTTCAACTTAATCATAAACGATATACAATTACTCAATTAAATGTATTTTTTGTCTAATTATTCGAACATTTTTGCTTTATTTTAATGATAAAGTGCATGTAGATATGTTGTATTGTAGTAAGGCATGAAAATAAAATCAATTTTCTTGTTTTTACGAAAATTTCTTAACAACGACATTTAAGTTCTCAAATAACATACTAATAGCGTCAGGAGCAAAACTAGAACGTAATTGGAGGCGGGGGGTAAATATTCATATATTCAGCTCTGCCCTGCTGACTTCTGTTGAAATTAACATCGCAAACAAAAGAAATCAGCAGGGCACAGCTGAACATATGAATATATACCCCCCCCCCAAATAAACGTTCTAGTTTCGCTCATGGAAGGGTGAATATATAAAAAAACGACGGCACACAGCTATAATAAAAATTCCTGGTTATTTTTAACACCGACAAATTTCGCAGTTTAAGCATGTAAAAGCACTTTAATTCCATACATTTAGTAAACAAGTTACGGGTGATTTCTGATAAAAAACACTTGAAAAAATAAATATATTTATATTATATATTATGTAATTCATTTCAAAAATTTGATCCAAAGCATGAGAACTGTGCTACATTATTATCCGTAAAATCTTAGTTTGAGTTTGACGTCAAAACAAACATTTACAAACTATCTCGTGTAAAAACGTTGTCAATGTTTCAATTAAGAAATAAAAGATGTTTACTGTGTTTGCACAGGATTATGCAAACCGAGGAGACATTTGGGAGAACATAAGAGATGATCAGTGCAAGCCCGAGACCAAAGGTCAGGGTTGCACGTGCTCGAGGTTCTCACAAACCTCCAAGGTTTGCATAAGGCAGTGCAAACACGAAAACATCTTTTATTTCTTTATTCATTAACAATAATGTGAAAAGACAAACGTTTCCATTTTTTCTCTAAAATGTATTCATGATCAATTTGCAAATTCTCTTTGACTGATTTATTGTTTCGATTGATTTAATTGGTTGAGCTCAGATGTACTTTGCACTGGCTAATGCAAACTCAGCTCTAGAACAATCAACGCACGCGTTTCATTGTGTTTATATTATAATTTAAGACGATGAATGACCTTATCGAAGCATCTATTGAAAGACAAATTGACATCTGTCGCATGTACACGGTGTGGTAAATCTATTTACAAAATTTTATATGTATTTTTCCAAGTGTTTTATTTATTGAATAACCAGAAGACTTTTAACTAATGTCTTTAACTAAGGTTGTTCTTACACTTCCAAACTCTAAATTTGCAGGTATTATCGCATTAACAGAAAAGGACAAGAACTAGTTTTACTTTACTATATGACATTGTTCCAGTCATGTAATCATACAATATGATGAGATTATAACATCATCACAAAAAATCATCATGGATGACTAAGATACAACAACATAAAAATATTAATTGATCTCAAACCAACATTTACACGAATATCGTTTGATTTTCATGTGATCAATTCTTACTTAAATACGATCTCACAATAAACACTTCATTGCACAAGTCACCACAGCTTCAAAGTAGGTCGATATAAGTAGACAGAATTATTGCTAATTTATTTTGTTGCATTTTTACTTGTTACAAAAAGAAGTACAAGAAAAGGTAATTTCAACATTATTGCTACAAAATGTAATATGTAAAAAAAGAAATACATTTGATCATTTTGTTTTAGCTATGAAAAGAGCTTACATACTGTTGTGTTTACTGGTTTTAATTGATTTGGTCAAAATGGAGCGATACAAGCAAATGAAGGAAAGACCGACGAAATCATTATTGGAAAATACGTACAAAGAGGTTAGTCGTCTTAATATTTATCAAACATAAACATTTAATAATAAGGAGTAAAGTCCATAACCATGAATTAACCAACGTGAGTCACATGAAAGCAATCAAAATTATTCTATAGAGCAAGAGAAATTTTCTCAGTCGATCACAAAAAACTATTTATGAATTTGATGTTCTGCTTTTTTTGGCTTTGCCGCAATGACTTAATAATTCTGATTTCCAAACAAAAACGCCACTTATAACAAAAATTAAACGCGCTTTGATAATCAGCGTCAGAGAGCTGAACCTTTATATTTTACTAGCTACGTTTTTTTTAATATAATCATATCGTCTGGCGAATTGTGTTTTGACCGATCGAATTCAACACATGTATGAATAAAATAATGTATAATCTTTTCCATGATTACGAATTTCTATATCTTGACTGGTTGAAATGGATACTTTTTCATTTATTTAGATTTTCATATACAACACAAAAAGTAAGACAATATACATCTCGAAATATGTTATTGGTTTTAAGCAATATAGTGAGTAATTAATATAGCTCTTTAAATGGTATCTTTTGGGTTGATTTTTACTTTTCTTTATGACACTGAGCTGTATATATACTTGGAGTAAGCTTATTTAAATTTCGTGGCATGAAATATACTTCTTCTTTTTTCGTCTGACGTTCTAAATTAGGTATTGGAAACAGAAAATGACAAGAGCTATTTCTATTTCAGTATATGTCTTTCTTCCTGTCCTATAATCTTATACCATGTCATGTGATTATAACGTCATCATGAGAAATCATCATGGATGATTAACATACAATAACATAGAAGGACTAATTGATCTCCAACCAAAATTCACATGAATAACAACTGAGCTTCATATGATAAATTCTTACTTAAATACGATCTTATATATTAATGTAATCAATCAATTGGACAAGTCACCAGAGCTTCAAAGTACATCGATATAGGAAGAAGACAGAACTATTGCTACTCTATTTTGCTGTATTTTTCTCGTTACGAAAAAGAAGTACAAGAAAAACTAATTTTAACACTGCTGTTTGAAGTTCATTGTCATAACATAAGTAACTAATTTGGAAAAAATATATTTTAAGTAACAGTAACATGTAAAGAAAGAAATACATTTGATCATTTTGTTTCAGCAATGAAAGGAATTTACATTGTGTTGTATCTACTGGTTTTTATTGATTTGGTAAAAATGGAGCGATACAACAAAGACCGATAAATTCATTATTGGAAAAGACGTACAATAAAGTTGGCCGTCTTGATATTTATCAAACATAAACATTTTCACAATAGCTAAAAACCTTTGTGGAGGAGGAGTAAGTGGGGCAAAGTCCATAAACATGACGAACGTTCGGGTTAGGATCAAGCTTTCGTGGGGCTTGTGGCGGTTTAAAGGCTAACTAGCTCTTCCCCTCAACTGACATCGTTTATCCACAAAAATTTAAGAATTTTTTGATTTACAAAAAATAGCTACAAGTAGAACTTTATTTACTAAAAATGCTTCCGCTAAAGCGTTAGCAAAATACAAATGTTTCTTTTTCAAAAATGATATTCTTACAATAACGAGTCCAATGTTTCTTACGATGTATTTTACAAACATAAAATCTGATCTCATTCATAGTTTGTTTAAAAACTCCAAGTTGACATTTAATGGAAGCACTCGAAATTTAGTCTGTAATATGAGGTTTTATTTAAATACCAAATTTCCTACCTACAGTGTTGCGGTTTTTACATTATTCTTGCCACACAAAGACAATATTTCCATTGAAAATAATTGCTTTGCGCGGGGCCCTCAAAACCATTCGTCCTGTGGCCACGCCCTCCCCTTAATCTAGCCCTGAGAACGTTTTTCATTCCACTACAAACAATTTTTCATCAGAAATAGAAGCTAATTAAAAAATGTGTAATATGAATATGGGCTCAAAGGCTTATTTGCCGGGGGATTGTTGGGGGTGGGAGGTAGATGCAGTGCTGTAAAACTAAATTTATTAGATGGGGGGGGCTCTCTTGACGTTTTTGTCAATAGTGCCCTTTTAAAATTACCCATTCCAAAGGTAGAAGAGGGCTCCTCCCCCAAGCGCCCCCCCCTTCTACAGCACTGGGTAGATGGCACTCCCCTATAATCGGGAAGAGGCCGTTTTTGGGCATGGAAATTACAGAGATTTGAAACGCCGTTGGCTTCTTGTCGATTATTTTCACTGTTTTTTTACTTGATTTTCTAGTTTTACTAAAAAAGTCCTCAAAACGCACGGAATGATGATTTTCAGGAGATTAAAGTTGCTCCAGGTGTGCACCCCAGACTCCCTGGATTTTCTATATCATGGGCCTTTAGTGCTTGCAGCTAGTAAACATAACACTTTGAAATAAGTATCTATATATACGGACTTTGAGGAATGTAAATTCAATCTACCAGTTGTCATGTGACTATAAATTTCTACATGAAATAGTACTTAAATACGTACATTTTGGGAAAGACCAACATACCAAACTTCCCCCAGAAATTTAAGCTTCCGTTAAAATTGTTATATTTATTATAATAATTAAGCTTGTAAGTTGGAATCAAACCATTAAACAATCTTCTCGGACAAACAATTTAAAAAAAAACTAAGTTTTCATGTGAAATAAACAGATTTTAACTATCACAATGCTAATAGACGTAAAAATACAAACAACTTAAGATTTTTTAGTTTGAAATAGAAATAATAAGTAAAATGGTTTTATTGGTAAATTGGTAATTACCAATAAAACGCACAGCAATCGACCAATGACAGTTCAGAATATCTTCAAGTATATT